ATTAACTCTTAAGTAATAAAACAAACTATCAAGAACTAAGAAAATAAGCAACAACTAGCAAAGCTCAGACTTTCGTGTTTTTAGAAGAATTTTGCATGGTGAAAGGAAACCCTGTTAAGTACTACCCTTGTTTTCTTCATTCACAGAGAGAAACTTTTGTGCAGGTCTCATGGCATTCAAGCTGCTAAAATCCTTTCTTCCCATCACCTTAACTAGTCACTGAACTGGAAGGAAGGAGTGATTCTTTATGTCCTCTTCTGTAAGCCTTTCAGCCTTCCTGAAAATGTGGTGTTACATGTGAAACCCTGTCCTCATCTCCAGGGCTTCACCCTCCTCCCCTCATGTGTGTGTTCCACTTGCCTCAGCAAACTGAAGAATTACTGCCCCTTGAAGGTCACTTCCCTCTGACAGGAAGGAGCAGTTTGGAAGGAAACATCAATGGTTTGGGTTTATTATCAGTTTATTACTCCAACTCAATTGTAATCCAATCCCAAATCTTAATCTCAGACCAACAAATACCAAATATCTTGTATCAGATTACAAATGCTAAAGAATAACATGCTTTCAGGTAAAAAACTGCTTTGATGATAACTGCAAGGAAAAGAAAAACAACAGAAAATAAAATGTATAGAAAGTAAAACTTCAGAAGTTACTGAAGGAATCTACATGAGTTTGCTTCAAATATTTTTAGTGTCCTATCCTATAGACAGGAAAGTTGTCTGAATGTAACTCAGAAAAGCACTATCTTTTCTTCTGCATCATGCAATCCCCATATAACCAGCAGATGTTCACAGGAAAAAGGTTTGGTTTTCTGTTGGGGGTTTTTTTGTTGTTTTTTTTTCTCTCTCTCTCAACTGTCCACATCTCCTCTTTGCCCAAACAGGAACATTCATAGGGAAGTTGCAGCCCTGCATACACGAAAAAGCTTGCAAGTGGTCTAAAAGCCCTTGCACATAGTACTGTCAAACCATCAGCCTGACTGAGTCTCCATTAGAACTAAACCACAGCAAGCATCCAACCAACACTGTGTAGCACGGGCAAGCTTTGGTCTTCTCTCCTTTCAGGCCTCTGTCTGATATGGTTAGCTTGATTACAGAAGTGGAAATACCAATCACCTCGCAAAAACGCACATCCTTAGTGAGTGCCTATCACAACACAGGGACAAGCTACCGAACGCAATTTTGACCCAAAATTGTCAAAATGGAGAAAGCACAAAGATATCTTCTACCCTGCAGAGCGAGTCAGCCAAAAGTGAGACCCCCCACACACTGTATAAAAACCAGAAAGTGCGTGCTGAAAGGAGGCGCTCTTTTCTGGAGTAGTGATTCATCCCAGTGACCCAGAGGCAGCCAAACCACAATGGTTACTTACAGAAAGGGGTCACGGGAGCAAACAGAAAGGAATTTTTAAAAAATAAAGCCAAAACAAGGGGTTTTGGATAACATGGACGCTGATACAACATAAAAGTAAACAACTGCAAAACGAAGGCATAAAATTCTGTAACATGAAATGCCTAACGGGGGGAACAGCCCACACTTCTGCAAATGTTTTTCCTTAAATCTCAAATAGAAGGAGGACTTCAAACTGAACTCATTTGAAATTGCTCCCCTTTGCCTTAGCAATGAACTTCTGGTCTGCATGTCTATGGGATGTCCAAAATGACATGACAGCTCTCCCAGCAAGTTACTTCAATCCTCCGCATTAGTCTTCAGGCTCCTTTGATAACTCATTTGAGTTTGTCATTTGAGAAGTTCTTTCTTCTACTGCTGCTGCCGCAGTCAGAAACAGTCCTGGAAACAATGTGGTTTAGAAATATTACTGGGCAAAACAGAGAGGAAACAAAATCCAAGAAGAATCTCAAATTAGTGAGACACCCTTAGTATGAACCTAAAAAGATGAAAGCTGAAAGTGGTATGCATTTGCTGTGCTGACACTTCACATTTCCACACTAGAAGCAATTACGAGGTTATCTAGTAACATTACTAAAATTTCAGCCATTCCGACTAACATTTTCCAAACCAAACACCAATTTTATTTTGGTGACATGAAACAGTATGGCCATTCTAAGAACAAAAGTATCAAAAATAAATTTTGCCCCAAATGAAAAAATATCCTCCAAATATTATCACAGCTACTTTAATGATTATTTTATCATCCTCATCCTTTGGAATAAGGATTGGGAATTGGAAATTAAATTCAGGCTGTGAAGTTGAAGTGTATTCCTAAATTATGGCATGTTCAGCATCTTTCGGAAATTTTAGCAAATGCTCACAGGGTAAGTGAAACAGTAGTTTGTCCTAAAGACTTCTAACTTGCCCAAGTTCTTGTAGATTTTCACCATGATGACAAAAGGCATATCCCAGAAATGGCTCATCTTCTGCCAAAACTAAATTGTCTTGAAGACACTCATCAGAATTTTTTATATGTACTTCAGAATAGAGCAAGGTATTTTCCCATCGCCTTTTTCTCATAAAATGCTAACGAATTCTGACTCATTTTCTGAAAGAAAGAAGCATCATCAAAAGAAAGGAATTCAGCCAGAGGCAGATGTTTAGCATGGAATATTTCAGCCTAGGAGTTAAAGTCTAACAAAATGGTGACCATGCAAACACAAGGTTTTTGTAATGACACATGTGAAGCTCGGACAAAAATAATATTAGCGTATTAGCAATGTTGCAGATCCATTAGTATAGAGAACACTAAAAAATTTTCATTTTATTAAAAAGACAGACCTATTCAATATCCATTTCTGTTCCATATTTCAGAAGAAACAAGAGGATGTCCTTGTCATAAGAATGACAAAAAGTAACCTCCTATCCATTAGTAACTCAGGTGGAGGATCAACAACATGCAGAAGGCTTGAGTGGTTTTAAGTCAGCATGCCTGTATAATTTTCAACACAGCACTTCTGAAAAGAGTTGGCTGAAGACATTTCTGGTTCCCTGATGTTACTTTCTGGTCAGTCTTCAAATACTGGGGAAACTCCAGAAGTCTGAAAGGATGATGATATTTTGCTAGTGTTCAGAAAGGGCAAACAAAGTGACGTACAATAACTGGAGACCAGGTAGCTTGACATCAGATCTAGGCAAAGTGACTGGAAAAATAAGTAAGGAATTAAGGTCAGAAATATAATATGCCATTCCACATGGATGACATATTGAACACATAGCATGCAAGTGGCCACAGGATGTAAGCCCTCTAAAGCTCCAGTGAGAAGCTGTGAGACTAGCTTTAGCCAACAGTTTGGGTGTAACATAAAATCATATAACCTTCTTATGGAAAAACAACCATTTTCACTATCAGTAGTGTACCCTTTAAGTGGAATGCAAAAAAAAGTATTTCAGATAACTAACTTTGTGAATTACAGTTGAGCTTTTTATCAGTGGAAAAAAACTAAGAGCAGTTCCAGCAGGATTTGAAAGTAAACACTCATTCTATTAAATGGTTTCATCAATGACATAAAAGCAAGTTAAAAAAATAATATAAGAAACTGTGGATACCACAAATTCAAGCAAATTCACAACTAAAAGAGGACAGGCTTGACATACACAATGATCTGAACTGCATGGTTAGCTGGGCATACTCAAATGAAGCAGACCTGGATACAGCACAAACACTTCCCTGTGTTTAGGTAGAAGAAACACAAATGATAGCTGGAGAGTAGGAAACTGGATCTCAGAAAACAACAGCTACAGAAGTTATGAAATCACATTGGACAATCAATTCAACGTGAAGTCCCAGCATCATGCTGTGACCAAATCCAAACCAGATTCAAACACTTTTTACAGGCCTTGAACATACAGGAGGCTGAGTAGTGAACTGGACCTGGCCAATGGTTTTGATGAGACTAAAACTAGAAGAATGCACACAGAGTAGCTGTCCTTGTCCTTAAGACCATGCTGAAAAGTTTGAGAGGGTGCAGTAAAAAACCATGCAAATCACTTGAAGACTGGTAAAAATGCTTTAGAGAGCCTTAAAGAGCTCAGTCTGTTTAGCTTATGAAAATTGTGACGCAGCATGATTTTGCTATGCAAGTGCCAGAGAAGGAAAACACCACATACTGAAGAGCTCTTTAATCTAATGGAGAAAAGCTTTACAAGAAACAAAAGAGGGGAACTGAAGCCAGACAAACTCAGATTTGGAAGAAAACCCACTTTTAGAAATTTGGGAGTGGAATTAAGGACAAACTCTCAAGGCAAGTGATAGATTCCCTCATGGCCATGTTTTCAAATTAAGACCAGAGGACTTTCTGAAAAATAAATGGAAGTTAGTATGTGCTCAGAAACAAGTAGTCAGCTTAGTACAGAATAAATACTTGAAATTTTGTAGCCTACAGTCACACACACACAAGTTGGTAAAAAAACCTAACCATTTCTTTACACTTAAACTCTATGAATCCATTATCTCTCAAGAAATACTACTGAAAGGTGGTGCTATCAGTCACTAACTAATTTGCGTAACTCCCACTGTTTCTTTTTAAGTGAAGTGCCCACTGTAGTTATCCTTCACACTCATTTCATGGTTGTGTTCTATATGTCCATATTTGCTGTCATTCACAATTTCAGCACTTATCCATGAATACAGCTGACTTCAAAGAAAAATGAACAAGGAAAGAGGAAAAGGTGGTTAAAAAGAAACAACAAGAACCAAAAACCCATCTGCACACCCATAAATTAAACCTTGAATTGTCCTACAACCTGCTGGAAACACCATTCCCCAGGTGATGCTGCAAATCAAGTTGTGAAGGGTCTAGATGGAGGCTATTTAAAACAAGGTCTTTACCCCTTACATTTAAACACTTTGATGACTGAGAAGTTATAAACCATCATATTTAGCTGAAATGCAATATTAGCTCAGCAGACAATCAAGAGAGTATTAAAACCAAGTCAGGCAAAAAACCCACAAAGAATATAAACTTCAGTTGTACCCCTATGTGGGCCATATATACACACATGTAAGTGTATACTTTCACACAGTAGTACACATATAATGCTTCTTACCTGATGCAGTTTTAGCATCTGAAATACACTGATGCCTCCAAAAGCTAATGGCAGATCTTTCTCTGTTCTGCAGTCGATATAACCTCTCAGCTAGCCCGCCCCTGCAGAGAATAAAGGAATGCTCAATTTTGCCAGGAATTAGTATTCAGTTTTGCCAAGTGACAAGCCATAGGACAGATGGAATATGTATGCTTTGACCCTTAGAGACAGAAACATACAGTAAAATTACATTTTGCAGATTAGTTATCCTAATTTTGATTTTCCAATGGATATACTCCCAATAAAACATACACTTAGGGTCAATACACACAATAAAACATTTTCACTATCTGGATGTCCAAAACCTTCATGTTTTCAGTCCTGTCTCCAATACAAGGATTTTAACGAAAAGTTCCCAACTTTTCTTTGCACTTATGCATGTATCCTGACAGACACTACAGACAATTGCGAATTCAAAACAAACCAGCGTAACCACCAGTTATAACAGGTTGGGGTTTTTTTTTCCTCACAGATTTGTTTGTCTGTTGGCAAGGAGTGATCACAAAAATATTCTTTTACCCATACTTGACCCTATGATTCATTTCACAAGCTGGGTCAAGTGTGCAGTTTCAGTGGTCTGAACACTCTCCAAGATGAAATTAATTTAGCATTCCCAAGGTGAGGAGCAGAGGAGTGGCATCTAGCACAAATACATTTAAGGTAACACTAAAGCAATTCCTACCCCCAGATTCAAAGCCAGAAGACATAATTTCTCACTTCAAGAACAAAAAGACAAATGTGTTGGAAGCTGTCTTTGGGCTACTACAAAGAGCTTTGGACTACTATGGGAGTATTTCAGCATTTTTCCTTGGCTTCAAAGAAGTTATATGCATAAAAACCTACTTCATTCTTTCCTTATAGCGTAAGTTTTTCCACAACAAGTACTATCAAGTATATCGATAAAGATTTCTACTAAGGTGAAATGTGTTCTTGGGTTAAACTGGTTTAGGAATCAGCGTATACAACCACCTTATGGTTATTTGTGCACATGAATAGAATTTTTTGGTTTAGAAAAAAAAAAGCCAAATAGCTTGGTAAAGCTCACACTGCAAATGTGAAACTGAGAAGACTCACACCTGTGGAAACCAAGAAGGAGCTAAAAGGACTAAGCAGCACTTCAGGTAGGCTGTAAAAATCTCTCTTCGGTTAGCAGTTACTAAGCAATTTCACCTGCAGACAAGTCAACAGGTTATATGAAAAGCAGTTGGCAGTCTCAGCTGAAGTTCTAATGAACAACTATATACTTTGCAAAATCATAACTATCACAAGAATTATTAGACGGCATGGCTAAACATCTTGGTAGTAAAGATCACAGAATGAACACTCTGAAATACAAGAGCCACATTTGACCTAGAATGATCTATAAAAGTTTTGTAGTTTACATTATTCCATCTCTTGTACGGCTGGTGTGGTTCAGGCAGGGAAGAAAGAAACTCAGACTCTTTCAGAGGAGGAAAAAATCCTCAAACCACCAGAATAAAGAACCTATACTTAACAAGCTATAAAAACTGCTATATTAAGGAGGAAAACAAACAAAAATATTTAGGAACTCTTGGGCTCCAGTGAGCTTCCAGGTAAGCTTAACAGCCTTGTTTAATCCTGCTTTCAACATGAACTTTAAGACACAAGGGCAACTAATACAGAGAAGTGCAATGGAAACTTTGGTACCAAAAGCAGCACGGTCAAGCACAGAACTTCATACAGGATAAGTTATTTTGCTGATCACACTCTGCTCAGCCACATTTCCCCCAAAACTTGAGTACTCAAGCATTACTGCCCTGCAACACTTCTGGGCAAGACAGTTCTACAAACTCCAGCATACTGTCTGCCCAGTTTCTCTTCTTGCCAGGGAATCATTCTCAGATGCAGTTGTAATTCAGCTTGGCTGCCTGGTCTACACAAGCCGTGGTGGAACAGGTAGATGCCAGCTCAGCTAGGCTTAGAAAAGCAGCAGTTAAATGCATTTTCAGTTCACTTGCTTAAGTCTTGCATGCATGAGTCTGCAACTGAACTCCGTGGCTGGACTATAGCCACACACAACACAGCTAGTAGCTCAAAAACTTGCTTTGCTGAAAGAAAACTGTTCAACAGGAGTGTTCTAAAACCCTACTCCATTCCCTCCACAGACAACGAAATTTTCTTTGTTCAAATAATGCTAGAAAGCCTTAAGGTACCTGCACAAGAGAGCAGCTATTACTGGCTCACAGCCTAATTTCCCCCCCCCTTTCCCTGAACAGGCTATGGTTGTGTCCAGTAAATCAGTTTCTACTCTTCTGTCAGCCCACTACTGTTTCACCTATGGCAGAAACACCCTGTAGCATGAAGGAAAGCAAGTTCCTGGTTTTGTGGCTATTGCACACAACAGTAATACACCATTCCTGTTCCAGGCCTGATATGCCTACCAGGGAGGGTCTCACTGACACAACTTCATTACTAATTTACTAACCATGTCTGTATTGGGATAATAGTTATCACAAAGGTCCATGAAAAGTAAAACCATGCCTTTCCTTAGCGGCCCTTTGTACTAATAAAATTCACTGATATTTATTAATCATCATCTTTCCATTCACTTTCCAAATGCAGTTAAAAATAGTTTAAACAGAAAACATCATAAAGCATTTTGCATTTGCTTGGTTGCAGAATATAAAATATAACCAAGAATGTATTTATGAGAGGTTCTCAGCTGGTCATTGGAAATGTTGGGTGGGTTTTTTTTAATAATGTCTGTTTCATACATTTTGAAATTGTAAATACAATTCAAGGACATGCCATGCACAAAAGGAATTTCTTTGGCAAGAGAGAGAGTTGGTAGTTTATGGTTTGTTTCTTTTAAAAGGTAGAAACAAAAAATTTAAACACAACCCCAAACCCAGGAGGATCAACTCCCTTTTTAACTCAAACACATAAAACAAAGAAAAAGTTGCTTTCTGTTACATATTCTAACATTTGATGACAATGGTATTTGAAAACTACTAATTCCTCCTCATACAGTACAGGTGCCCACACTGCTGAAAACACTTGTGTATGTGCTGTGATATACTGTCAACTATACAGCCAGAGCCACTCCTGGCTGTGCAGGGAGCACTAAGACAGAGTTACACAAAGCTTACACAAAGCAGAGCATGGTGTTAAGCAGGTGCTGGCTTCAGTGTAAGAACCAACTCCATGTTTTGAAAAAAACTAAATGGTTAAAATTACTATTATTTTATTCCCAATTGCACATCTGTGTCTTGTTAAATACCTAATGAGCTTTTATATTCAGTCTTTGGTAGTTAACTGGGTTTACTGGGACTAACAGCCATTTTTTGGCATAGATTCTATCATATGGAATTAACTTTTTGCTTATTTTGGTAATACAAGGTAGAGATGAATAATATTCACTTTTCACTGTCTACACATTATCCCTCTGAAAAAAACGCTAGCTTTCCTGGCTTTTCAGCTTTACAGGCTGCAGAAACTGTTTGGCTTAATTTTGCCAGGTATGGGAGATTTGTTGGCATCAAGGCTGGAGACTGGATTCTACAGTACCAGGTCTTGGTTAATCTGCAGTCTGTATTTATTTATTGCATCTAGCCGCTTCAAAATGTTTAGAAAAACATATTCAGTTCCCTCTTTTGCACAGATCTAGCCCTTATGATGCATTTAATTGTCCTCCGTGATGAACCCAACATCTGGTGTGTGTGTGTATATATAATTGGCAAATATATTTTGATTACTAATGTACAATTTCTGTAATCAAGGGAACTGACAAACTGTATTTAAATAACAAAAACTGTAATTTGAGATGCATACTTTACTGACCAGCACTTCAAACTTGCCCCCAAAATGTTTTAATACGAGGAAATTGAACACATTTGGCAAGTTGTTAATGCAAAAGCTGTTCAGTGAAGCCAAACCGCTCAGATACAATCTCCACTGCCCACAACCTTTTTATTTTTAATCACAAAACTTTCAGTACAACCATTTTGTTCCTTTAAATCCCTGAAGGCAGACAGATTTAACAAGCACAAAATCCACGTCCTATTTCCGTAATAAATCTGAGCTTGTTGAAATACTGTATTTAAAACAATACATTGCTATTACTGTCCATGTCCAACAACATCCGCATGAAAGACAGCTTTTATGACCATAAGAAAGCTCAGCATCTAGTACAAAAGCTCAGTTTCTGGTGGTTGCCCCCTTCCCCCCCTTCCACAAACTTCAACAGCAAGACTGAAGAGTTTTGTGCCACCATGTGACAAGTATCACCAAAAGGTAACACTGAGCCTGATCTGTGACTCTCAGGCTGCTGGTCCCTAGCCTGCAATTCCAATGAGGCTAAGGGGGGGGGGGAGAAAAAAAAAAGGGGGGAAAAAGAAAGAGCATTAGTGAGTAGGCTGTGTTTTGAAAAGTAATTTTTGTGTTTTGAAAAGTAATTTTCATTCTTTCTGAAGTGCTGGAGATCTGTGTTTATTTATTAAGGTTTTCATTCAGCAGGGCACTTACCAAAAGTAAGTGCAACAAACATTCATGCAACTTTATTCCTTTCCAGACTTCATTTGAATTTAAGAACAGTGAACACTTAAGCATCTCATTATTGAGTTGTTTCCTCACATACACTATATTCAGGACTCCATGTATTTCAAAACACTATAGGTTACACAAATATATACCCCCATCTCAGGAGTGGGCAATTTCTCTCCTTCTCTCTTTTCAAAGCAAGGACAGAACTCCTCTCATATTTCCAAATTAACTGGTAAAGACACTGACTTCTGCAACACTCAGCTGTCCATTTCCACTCCATGGGGTGCTTGCTAAAGAAGAAAAAAGAATCCCTAAGTATGCTGGCATTTAATTTGTCAACACTGCAAACCCATCAGCTATTATCAGCTAGTTTACAGCTTCCAAAATAATACACAACACTGAATGATGACAGTCACTACCAAGTACTCCTTTAGTGTACAAAATAGCATGGGTACGTATGAAAGACGTGATTGAAGAACGTTCGCCACACAAGCAAAAGTCTCCTCTACAGAGGCCTACCTCCTCTCCAGCGCGGAAGAGCAGCTGTTGACTTCATGCA